GGGGCGACGCGGGCTCGCAGACCCCCCTCCCCGGGCAGCCCGAGCAGAGTCCGCGACTAAAGTGCATCCCAGCCCTCCTGGCCGTAGCCACACACGCCAACTGGAGACTCGCGCCGGGCTGCGCGGCCGGGTCCCCGTCCCCTCCTCCACCCGCGCCTCGGGTCCCTCTGCGCCGCCCTCCCGCTTTTCTTTGCGAGACTCTTAACTTTTCCCCCACTCCCTCTCGGGCTCCCCCCTCGTCCCCCCCAAGCTCTCTCCGCTCGGAGTGTTCCGAGATGCTGCTGAAGCTAAAAGTGAAGGAGAAAGAAGCAACTAAAAATATCCCCCCGGGGCCGCCCGGCTCCTTGAATGCAGGGGAGAGGGGGCAGGGGAGAAGGCGTGGGGCGGGGTGGCGGGAGGAGGGGACGCGGGAGGCGCCGGAGGGAGGGGTCGGGGGAGACGGAGGGTCAGTTTCTCCTCTCCCCCCTCCCCCCCTGCGCTGCTCCCCTCTCCTGGGCGGCTTGGCGCTGCTCGGAGCCCGAGCCTGCAAAACCCGGGCTGGGGGCGGGAGTGGAGCCGGAGCGCCCGCCCGCCCGCCCGCCCGCGCGGGTGTCAGGCCGACGTGGTCGGTCACCTGAAGTTCACGGAGGGTGGGGGAAGGGTTAAGGTTATGGTGTCTCGGGCTGTGTGTGAGCGTGTGTGTTTCCGCCGCAGACGGGCGAGCGCGATCGATCTCCCCCTCGCGAAACCTCCGCGGCGGTGCCCACGCGAGGGGGCCGCGGGGCTGCTGTGGCCCGGGCGGGCGCGGAGGCGCCCGGGCCGTGGCCGGAGTGGCGAGCAAGGGCACGCGCGGGCAGTCCGCTCCGCAAACATTCCTCTTTTCTTCCCCCTTCCCTGTACGCAAGGAGTCGACGCACTGGGCTCGGGTTGTGCTTTTTTTCCCCTTCCTTTAGGGAAAAAAAAAATGCCCCCGTGCAGTCCTTTCTTCGCCTGCCCGCTAGAGGTTCTGAGGATAATATCACATATGTAATATATATGCACATAAAATCACTCGCAGGCGGCTGCGTGTGTAGGAAAATTTTGTGCGAGGAGGAGGAGGAGAAGGCGGCGCAGTCAGGGCGGGCGAGGCGGGAGGCTCAGCGCCGCGATTCACAGAAAACTCGCAGCAGTTGGTGGAAGTGTGCGTGCACATGGCCGGCCCGGGCGCCCCTCTACTCGGACGCGCGTGGGCAGGGAGGGGAGGCTGGTGTCCCGGGCGGGCCCCACCGCGGGAGGCTTGCCCTGCTCGCACAAAATGGGCTTCAGTGTTCTCTGCGAACTTGCCCTTAGATGGCAACTTTGGGAGCTGATGAGCTTGTGTGCGAAAACCAGGGCGGTGAGGTTACTTGGTCATTTTCCTTTCTTCTCTTCTCCCCCTGCTTAAAAAAATGTTGGCGGGGTTAGCGGGAGGGTGGGAGAGGAGAAGGGATTTATCTGTTTCGGCTGAGGCTGCTGGAACGCTGCTCCTCCCGTGGTGTGCAGTGCAGTCGGGCAGCTGCAGCCTGCCCTGCCGGTGACCTTGACCCTGACCTCCTGCGACTACCCTTCAGTCTGAGAGGAAATTCAGGCTCCATTTTAGCTCGGGTGTCTGGTGGGCCTCTCCTGCGGGTTGCTGCCTGTTGATGAAGTTGTTATTTTGAGAGTGGGCTCCCTCTTCGTTCTCTGATTGAATACTGTTATCTACTCACTTAAAAAAATCGCCTCTCTCTTGCAGTCACATTAAACCACTTTTACCTAAGTAAGAAGCAATTTACTTTTGGAAGCACAGTAAACGTTCCTGCCCCCACCCCCCTTCTTTTTAAGGGAAGCCTTAATTTGTAAAGCGTTTCCGCCTCTTTTTGCATTGAATGGACTTTTTTTTTTTTTTTTTTTTTGAGGATATGTGCTGCCTTTTCTAAGCAGGGTTTACACGTGTTTTATAAGCAATTTACATTTTCACTAAGAGCAATTTCTGGGCAAATGGTGTATTTTGCAAGTCAGTCATAGTAACCCAGGGCTTGCTAAGAGCCCAGGGAGGATCCCAGGAATTTGAAAGTGATATGTAGGCATAAGGCGTACTGACGGGTAAAAGTGAATGTTAATGTCCATCTAGTACAGAGTATAGTTGTAGATCTACGTCCTAGTTTTCAATACTGAACTGTTATTTGTGTGAGAAAGGGCCCCTTCCCTGGGAGAACTGTGCTGCATCAGGATTAAAGTACAGTTGAGTCCGGGCATTCACAGTGCCTGGTAGAAGTCATCTTGGAGTTTTAAGAGGTTATATAGTTGTTTAGATTTAAAAGTTGGCCCTAAAAAAAGTGATGTGTCTTGTGGCTGAGGCAAGGAAGTGATTGAATGAATGACCTGGAGAAATTTAAATTGCTTCTAAAGCCCCAGAACCCTTTGAGCAAATGCAGAAGTTATTAAAGCCACTATTTATATGTTGATTTTAAAACTGAAAGCACCTGTAAACATTTAAGAAATGCAGCATGTGTGTGTGACACACACACTTGTGTACACACTCACACCTGTGCTGTTAGAATTCGTAGAACAGTTGAAATGCTTTCCACGTCCCCAGCACCCCCTTTTCCTTCGTACCCCAGCAGGATGGCTGAAGAATTTTAGAGCACGCACAGCTGCCACTTAGAGGTGTTTTCTGTGAGTGGAGTCTCTTTTTCACATTAAACAATACTGTCCAGGAACAGTCTGGCCCTGAAAAGCCCACTGCCTTCCCACTGGACAGCGCAGACACCAGGGAACCTGGACGTTCCACCCTAGAGTGGATTAGTCCTGGAAATCCAAGCGAGCACTTGGTATTATCTGATACCAAGTCTGGGGTGAGCCTCGGCTCCTGGCACGGAGTACTAGCAATTCCCCAGCCTGGGCTCGGGCCTGCTAAGGTTTCCTGGTTCCCTCTGTTCAGCTAGACACCCCTGGGACTGTTCAGAACCGAATTAGCTTTGGAGATGGGCGAGTCTTTAACCTGACACCCCTAACCTTAGCCTTGGGTTTCTGATTTAAAATTCTACAGTCATTTCCTTCTGAGCCTCAGAAGTGTGGTGTGTGTGTGTGTGTGTGTGTGTTACATGGGCCTCCTCATGCATACACAGAAAAAGTGGCGTATATCTACATGTCACAGAGAAGTACTGTAGTAACTTGGAGTTATCACTCAGCCAAGATGTTAAGTCTATATTATATTTGAGGGGTAGATTTAAAGATAATTATTCAAAAATAAAGGCCTTGTTTCTTGGCTTAATGCAGTAATTTTCATTTTGGGATTTCAAATGTGACTCAGCTGCTACTGATGGCTCTTTCACAAAACTTTTTTCATTAATAAAGTCCAATGCCAGTTCAGAAGAATGGCCTACAGCTCCTTTGAGATGACCCAGGCACTCACCTTCATCAGAATCCCAAACAGCGTAACTTAGGCAACTCTGTCAGTCTAAGGCTGGGAGGGAAGCTGCGTGGCAGACTGGGATCTTTCAAGCTGAGAGGGAGGCATCAGGAAGGTGCTCTAACGCATTTATTGCATCTCTATGTCCCTTACTGGTAGTAACCAGCACTTTAAAATTTCCCCATTAGCATCCATTTACCCATCCACACATACGAGTTTAGATTCTGTCATATTTATCATTGGGGTTTGCCTGGTACCTGCTCCCCAGGGGGAGAACAGAGGAAAAGTTAATAAAAGAGTTGTTTCATTATTCCAGTGTTTCATTGTTTACTCAGTTGTGGGTTAAGATTGGAACAGGTTACTGTGTTCTTCATTAACAAAACTTTAGCAAACTCTGCTCTCTAGTAAAACTGAGGAGCAAAAGGAGTGGAAAGCGACTGGATCCTTTATTTTTATGCTTTTATGAGTCAGTTTCTCTGTCTCCGTCTGTCTCTCTGTCTCTGTCTCTCTGTCTGTCTGTCTGCCTCTCTGTCTGTCTGTCTGTCTGTCTCTCTGTCTCTGTCTCTCTGTCTCTGTCTCTGTCTCTGTCTGTCTGTCTGTCTCTCTCTCTCTCGGTGTGTGTGTGTTCAAAGGAAAGAAACTTGACTCTGCCTTTATTTCTTACTAATCTTTGTAATG